ATGGAGGTCTTCAGGTACAACCTGTATTCTAATTTTGATTTTGGATGGTTTTAAAGAATTCCAAATAATAAACCACAATAACTTAAGTTAGTGACTAAAGGATCATATTTTAAAGTATTTAGATTTGTTTTGTTATTTAAAGAATGTTTTGTTTTAATCAATTTTTTTTTTTTTTCTAACGATACCAATTATTTTCTAATATAAATTAATACAGAGATGATGCATTTTATTAAAACATTAATTAGTTTAATTTACATTAATGGAAATTCAAACAAGTATTTTCTGAGTTATTAAGTTTAAATACTAATAATAATAATGATTTAGATTTAAAAGATAAAGGACTATGATAATTTAGAAATTATAGTGATTATTATTTATTAAAACTCTTTGACTTGTGTAATAAGTATTATAATAGAGTATAATAAGTACTAGATTAAATACAAATCTATTTTATAATTCATATACAACCATTATTATTAAATACTATTATCCTTAGAACATTTAGTGTAATAACTCAAAAATTAATCGCTCGAATTTTGATTCAAGTGAGCAGAGGATAAAGTTAACTGGAGGGTATATTATTCTACACGGATATATAGTGCTGTTCAACGATGGATCTGATTACGTATCGAGATATTATGCCTGTACAAGGATTTTTGTTTTATTTTCAAAGCAGCTTCCGGCCACTACGGTCGAGAAGATGAATCGAATGTCGTCGATTATTGTACAACGCGCTCGTGACCTGGATGACTGGGTCAGTGACGCGGCCGGTTCACATACATCTTTTGGTATTTTTTTGTTTTTGCGGTGAATCGCAAGTGAAAAATAATGGTTTGGGATTTAGGATGCGTGTAAAAATCCGGTATCTATTTAAAGATATTGTTTGACGTACAACCGAATTGAATAACTACGGACGATTACGATTATGTCATCGTTGCAATGATACGTGGAATCTGACGGTGACACGCCCACGTATTCGTCTACCAGTTGTAAAAAATAAAATAATAATAATCGTCTTAGCAACTAATAAGCCTATGCATGACCAAACCAGATTGAAACGAGGTCATCATTGTTTGTATAATATGTAAATCAGCTATACACGACTTCCTTACATTTTCATCATGTCGAAAATCAACACACGTTTTCATAATATACAATCGGACACTATATAGGTAATTTAAATACATATTATCATAAATGACAATGATTCACTAACTAAACTCTTATACTTACTACCTTTTTAGCCTAGAATAATTCGTTGATTCAAATTTTGAATTTTGGATTTTATATATATATTATAATAAGTAGGTAGTCATTAAGCTTTATCAACTAACGATAATAATCCTTAAATCATAGTCTTTAATAATATAAATGTATGTAATGTTTAGTATTGTATTTTTTTTAGACATAGATAAATTGTACCAATTATTTTAAAATGTTAATATAATCATCATAGTCTCAAAATCTCATAAACCTATAATCATGAACTATCGTATTAATGCTTCAAGTTTAATAACTAAGAAATTATTGAAAAAAATATATCTTCGTTTCAATTTATAGGTGCATCAAAATATTAAAAAATAATTTATTTAAACTTTTACATTAAAAAATAGTTATAAAAAAGACTTTTTACTATTGAATTTTCACGCAGTATACTTCTCAAATTGAGTAAAAATCTTAACTTTGAAATTATAATGCTAATTCAGTACAAAGCTATATAAATTCAATTAAAAATTCCAAAAAGTATTATTAAAAAGTGAAAAGGTTCATGCTTGGTGAATCGTCTAATAAATTATATGTATTATGGTTTATAGAATGATTTTGTCAGTAAAATTTATTTAGGTAGTAATATTATTTGGTTATTTCCACGAGGTTGGAAAATACTAAAAACGATAAAAATAAATAATTTTTGAGGTTCAATGCGCTCGACAATTGATGCATATAATAATATGTAGGTAGACTACACAATTTAATATTATATTTAAATTAAAAAACTTACGAATCATTGTCCACTAGATAAGCGTGAAGTTTGAGTGAATATTTAGGTTGACAGGATATATATTATATGTGAGTTACATTGTTAGTTATTAATTTTTCGACACCAATAAACCGTTTATTCTTCCAGTATGAGATCTTTCTATATTTGATTGAATCTTTGGGCGGACGACGCAAATGACGTGCATGTAGAGCGTTACAAATCTTTCGATATATCACGGTCGCGTTGTGACACGTGAGGATGTATTTTTTTATTCGATCAATTTTTTTTTTGTCTATTTTTTTTTTAGGCCATGGCTAATTAATATAAAATTTAAAATTATAATTGCATGAGTCTTCGTTTTCACTTCAGAAAGTGAATAAAAATCGATTTGTCCGCATAGGTCTGACAATTGTCGGGAGAGCGAGTAAAGCGATGGCACGACATTTTTTTTTTTTTGTTAAATGAAATAAGTCAGTCTATTGCTTTTATTCTTAATTTCAAATGTTATATGACTATCCTATATTATATTTATCCTATAACTTTGAAATTTTTCACGTGAAAGGAATATAATACTGTAGAATAGTATAATGAAAATTCCAAACAATAGTAGAAACTTACGAATTTGTGTCATTACTCAATACTCATTTTACTCTGGTAATTCTTCAATATATTATAACTCGAGCCTTGTACAAAAAATATTTATGATACATAAGTACTTTATCACTAGTTACATTATATTTTAGCAATAATCCTGAAAATATGTATACAACGTAGATCACTAGGTTACTCTTATTATTTATAGAGTCTATACTATATTCTAAAGACCTTATGACACAATATTATAATATGATAATTTATTGAATAACTATCATATTATTTTGCATACTAATGTATGATACACTATTTATTAAATTTAATCTCAATAAATAAGAAAAATAAAAGGTTCGTTTTAATTATAATTTAATAATTTGAATAGTAATTAACACAATAATTTGTTGATAAATTAGTCAAATAATATTATTATATGTATACAAAGTACCGTAATAACAATCCGTGGCATTAAACTAATTATCTAACGTCTTGTATATTTATATTGCGTTTTACTATGTAATTTATTTGAACAAAAATTATTTATTATTATTATTTTTTATAGAAATATTATTTTTATTCCTAATTTTAATAAAATACAAATTATTTAACATTTATTTTTTTCGACATCTTTAAAGACATCCAGTATTTTACATTTCAGTTCATTTTTTAATAAAATGTTAAAGAATTACATTATGAGCAATAATTAGTGTTAAATTATTATCAATAATCATATTATATAAATTTAGTAAACAGAATAATAAATAATTATATAAATTGTCATTAGTTGACACGAAAGTTTTAAAGATATTTGTTTCTTTTAATTTTATATAATTAATAATATTTAATTAGTCTATAGGATATTGAAATATTCAAAATACAATACTGGTTTTTTTTTTTATAAAGTTTTGTCAAAGTTAAAAAGTAATTTTCATAATTCATAGATAGTGTACTTTTAGGTAAACTGTTTTAAAAAATGTTTAAGAAAAATCATACATGTTACAGGTGTACTCAATTAAACACTACTGTGTCATAAATCCCTGTTATTTTATTGTAAACAAACCATTATTAATTAATTTATAATATTCAGAGTGATGTTTTATTTTAACGGATAATATTTCGTGTAATAGATATTCTACGAGTAAAAACGCTATTTAAATACAATTATGTATTTCTATATTTTTTGAAAACTTAATTTGATTGGCACTCTGTGATTGAGTAATTAAACTTAAGTGTCATAAGTTAAAAGTTATAAACATATTATATTAGTGTAAGTTGTGATGTAATTATTAAATTCTCTGTGAGTAAAACAATAATAATAATAAGAAAAAAAAATACTGAATATCACCAAAAAATCATTTATTTTATTAAACAAAGCATAATTGATTTAAAAAAATTATAGGTATTAGATACATAATACACCATTTCAAAACTACTTATCTGAGCAGACATTGATTTGTAACTGAATAGATGAAGTCGGGATTTTTCGTGATCTTGGTATCTATTTTCAAGTTATGTTTGTCTATAATATATTCGTTAAAAATGAATTGAAATTAATTTTCCGACGACATTTTTACAAATTAATTGCAAGTAAATGGCACCAACATTAAATCAATTGGACATAGTCGAGGCACAAATTTTATATACGCAAAAAAAATGTACAAATTTTCTGATTATCACTTTGGTTTTACTTATATAATAATAAAAAAACATGATGGATTACAAAATATATTGCTTTACCAAACACTATTTGCTGATTAATTGAAATAACTTAAAGCTTTAGATTGTTACTTATTGTGTCTGATTAACTAAGTTTGCTTATAGTATATTATTTTCGGCTTTTTACATTTAACTTGTTTTATAGTATCGTGGCATAAAAAGAACTTTGTTTAATCAAGCGGGCTTTGTTCTTTACATTATGAGAAAGCCATTTTAACTATTGTTAAACTTTAATTAGTAAAACCGTACTTAGCCTTGATGATTTTATAAAACCACTTTAATCTTACATATAAGGAACTTCAGATAAACGTATTTGATAGATATTTACCAGGCATTTAGTAAAGGGATTTGGTGTCTTACGATATTCGATAATAATAAAACTAGAAACTTCTATATCACTAGTGTTTGATAAGGGCTATACGATTTCCTAGTTAAAATATCGAAAGTTAACGCATGAGTGTGTGAAGTGCATTTTTTTTTTTAATATTGTTTATTTTATAGTTGTTTATATTTTTCTTAATAAATAGAACTATACGTTGAATATATTTTAAAGTAGAATTGTTTTGAATACATTTAAATACGTGTTTTCAGAAAAATGCATAAAAATATTCAGTTAACACATGTCATGTGAACTTATAACTTATAATTATATAAATTATAGGTAGTTGAAATTATTAGGACGGCTTATATAGGTGATCCAAATCTTTTGTTTCAGGTTACGGTCATATAGCTCCAAAAACCCTTAACGGAAAAATAGTCACTATAATATACGCGATTGTTGGTATACCGTTGATGCTCTTATGTCTGTCCAATATCGGCGACATAATGGCGCATTCCTTCAGGTTCCTTTACTGGAAAGTATGTTGCTATACATGCACCAGGCGGCAGAGACGAGTACAGTCCCTAAGGAGGTCCCGCAGTCAAAGGTCCACTACAAGATCACACGGGTAAGATTTTACGTATCTGGTTTTGGGTTTACATATTTTAACACAGTCAAAGCACGTTCACTTGTTAATCCCCTAAAGGCCCACTATGAGTCAAGTTATATGGGGTTTTGACTACTTCTAGTTGTATCTTGAATTTGATATGATATGCTTATTGTTTATTAATTATGTTGTACTTTTGTGAAGTCCATGGTAGAAGTGTAAGAGGATTACGATATTAATCTGCATTCTGCGTCAACATAAATCATTTTATTTCAATATAATTAAACTATTTAATTATTTTCATCACAGAGAAATTATTGTGTAATTAATTTATATCACATATGAGTATAATATATGACTAAACATTTTATTTACATTAATTTTAAGATATTAAAATTTTTTTATTTTATCAAATTTAACTGATTTTTAAGTTATAGATGTACCTATTTTCCTTAATTGAAATTAATCAAAAATTTTAATAATAATTTAAGTATATTTAAAGTTCCATGTACAATAATTATTATTGATAAGTATTACATATTATTTTATTAATATATTAAATTATCACGTCTCATGTGTATATAAAATACCTGTACTCAATTTGTATTAAATAAAAAAAAAAAAATAAATAACTCAACATAATGATATTTACGTGAAAAAACTTCTTTAAAATCCCATTAAAAATACTTGATTACTATTTCTAAATTATTGAATTTGCGCTTTAAAACGATTTCATAAATGTTACAACCTAACAACAATATGATATATATTTTTTTTTAATCTGATCTATTTTTTAGTTCAAGAACTACGTCATTAAAGAGAACGGGTCGAATATCACAGAGATCTGCAGACAGTGCTCTTGGAATGTCAGATTGTTATACTAGATCTTCTTATTCGGACACTGAATGCAGGTGAAATATCTATAAAATTGTGTTAGTTTGATTTTATTTTTATCTCGTTTTCAAAACATGTATACATTTTTTGTAGGTATTATGATAAAATGGAAAGAGAATATGCCATGTTTGGAGGCGGGATGCCTGTTAAAGCCCCTAACCGATATTCGCAGCAATCCAGGTATTCTGATACCGTACCGTTACGAAGACACTCCCCAGCTATTAAACCAAGATCGACCAGTCAAAACAGTGGTCACCGAAACAATGCTAACCAATATTATTACCACGGACGATATCGAGTGCAAGGTACTCGCATAATATTATTAGTATTTGTATATTGGAGTAAAACAAAATAAATAATGAATTATTTAAGCTTAGTTGTTATGTAATATGTTAAAGAATAAAGACACACAGAGTATATATTTTATTACAATCTTTAATTCATCGAACGAATTATAGGTAAGTTTTAAAAAGAGAACTGTACTATATTCATACTTAAGAGATTCATGTTCCTCATTCTTGTAGTTATTTAAATATCAAAAACATTATTCTTTGAATTAATACTGCTTGAAAATTTGTCTTTAATGTTGTTATAATCATGAGCATTAAAATTTAATTGAAAAAAATGAACTATTCAAATGAAAAAAATATGTACTTTATTACATATTTATAAATATTATTTGAAAATACATGTTAAAAATAAAAATATATTATGTAGATGTTTAAGTATATTTAATTTATATTAATAAAATTATTTTTAGAACTAAAATAATTAATAATTGATAAGAGCTGAGAATTAAAAAATTTAGATCAATCTAAAAATTGTTTTGATGTTTTCTTATATTTTACAAAGGATACGTTCACGGTTATTAAACAAATCATTAGTACCGTAATAAATTCAGTTTTCATATAGGATTGTAAATTATCTTTAAAAACTAACATTAAACCTACAGTTTTACTCCAATGTACCAAAATAGTTATAGCAACTTAATGATTCTAAGACAAAATATCTATTAGCTCACAATTTTAGATTATGTGAAATTGATCTTAAATACCTACTTTAAAGAGTTTTAATTATCATACTGTTTAATTAATAATTATTGTTAGTAGTTGTTTATCGTGGGTATTATATTTTTTTTCTTTTCGGATTGCTTTAACCTAACAGATAACTGCTTCATTTTAACCTACAAATAAGTAAATTAATTATTGTAATATTACATTATTAATGCAATATGTATTATTTTTTATACATATACATTCATATTATACCTCTTGTAATAACTGTTCTTTTTTTAAATGTTATTTATTTCCGTATGGAAACATGATTAGCTCCAAGTGCACTATTAAATGTATGGGGCCTCAACCCTCAACTGATTTTTATGTTTGTGGTTGATTTTAAGAGATAAATCGTAACAGTTCAAAGTACAAAAATAAAATTGCGGTAAGCGTTTCCGATTTCTATGATTTGGTCGGCAAAAGGTAACTAGATATCTTAGAAGTAAATTTTAATTGGCGATAAAAGTTCTTCATTTTTCAAAAAGTTTGTAAAATACCTGAACAGCATTGACATTTAACATCCACATTTTTTCGGAATAATTTTGATTGATTACAAACTTAATAGATACAGTTTTTAATTTCACATAAACTTTTTATTAGTATAAATATTACCAAAATCTGAACTAATAAGTACCCCTATGTGGAGTTAAAATTAGTTACACGTAAATATCATTAAGTATAATAAACGTTTTTTTTTTTTTACGTATCATGAATTTTAAACTGTATAAAACCATTAAAACATACTATAGATTTAGAATTAAATCTAAGCACTATTAGCTAGAATCAAGAATATGGTTAAACATTTTAATTTCGTTACTCGCGTAATCCGTATAATATACTGCTAGTTGGATCCAAATATGTATTTATAATAATTCCTTAGTAAATATTTATGAGTTATTTATTTAAATACAAATTATTGCTTATAGCTTGCATATATATTGTGTAAAATATAATGATATACGTTGCAAGGAATATCTTCTGTCTAATAATAATATAGTTATTACTCTTCCATAAAACGAAGTTGAAAATATATTTTATAGATAAAGATATTGTTATAATGCCAGTGTGGTATACGAGTATAAAGAGACATTTAAACTTCATATTATTCACATGAAATTAAATTTTTTTGTATTTAAAATTTTTATAATAAGTATCAAGCAAATTCATATTTATAATATTAATTATAGATTACCAAGTATAATTCAATATATCTTGTTACAATTTTTTAAATAATCATATACTTCAGTTTGTTTTTGTTTTTATTATATTATTTCCTAGAGAAATGATTAGTCTGGATAAAGATTATTTTTATAAGTATTTTCTTGAGCGTAAGACATTTTTCTTCTACGGAAATGATTTATCATAATAGAGTATTTCAGTTACATTTTAAAATACTTGATATATGTATATGTTATGTGTGTGTAATTCATTTTACTTAGAAAAACCATCAATATAATTGTGTGTTGGATTAATAATATATTTCGATGACATAAAGTTAAGTACCCAACTGTACCAGTGTGACTATTTTATGGAGGACAATGAATATTAATAGGGTTTATTTTAATCATTGAATAGTATTTTAAATTATTTTTTTTATTTTGTTAGATCCTAGTTATTCTGATGGTGATCAACTAGATGGGCCAGAACTTCAGCAAGTGCCATCGATTTTATTTAACAAATATGCGCTGGACAGGGAAGAATCTCGAAGAAGTAAGTTTTCAAAAATTATCTGTCATTTTTCAACAATTATCAATATTATAAAATTTATAGTTAGATTCATAATTTGCAATTTATATTAATTTTAAAGTTAATTATAATATTTATGTAATTGTATGGTAAGATCAATATTTCGAATAGCCAATACTAAAATTTACAATTAATATCAGATGAGTAATACGGAAAAAAATTAAAGTAAAATATAACTTTTGATGTACGTTTAAAAATAAGTTAATAAAATACATTGAATTTATAATTTATTATTGTATTAAATAAAAAAAAAATATTTAAAATATAAAGGTTTTGTAAAAATTGACAATGAGATAACTAAAAAATTAAAGAATTAAATTTAAACTATTCATATTAAGATTTGAAAATTTATTACAAGATTTTTTATAAGTTCTTCAACTTTTATAAAAAAAAAAAAAAAAATAAATAAATAAATAAATAATTAGAACTGAATCAACCTACTGTAATACTAACAATAAAATAAATTACTGTAATAGTAATATCAAAAAATGTATCATGAAATATTATAATATAAAGTAACAAACAGTTAGCTGACCTAACTCAGAATCGTTTTTCGTGAACAATGATACATCATTGAATTCAAATTACGGCACAACGGAACAATATTCATTTGACCACTTTTTTTTTTGGTGGAGAAAAGGGGTATTTGCGCTAAAATAAAAAAAGTATGTTTTTTCTGACAGCCCATTAGCGCCAAATTTACTTGCATAAAAATTTTACATTAAAAAATTTGATTAATTCGTACACTTAAAAGACATCGTGGCTGTAACGTATAGTAAAGTTATTTCTATAAGTCTATAGATTTCAAAGTTCCATATATTATTGCGTAGGATTATTGAAAACAAGTTTTATATCAGTTTTATTATGTTATACAATGTAGATGTTCCGTTATCGTTATTTATTTTGTCAAAAGAACAATTGCAGTGTGATTTTATCCGACATTCGTTTCGTTAAACTATATGTCTACATAATATTCTTGTTTGGATAAATATAATTACGTTATAGTAAATAATATTTGAATTATAAATTATAAAAATGGAGTTCATAACAACCACAAGAGGGAAAAAAATAGTTATAGAAAATGACCATAGGTATATCTCAGCATATATGTATATCTTCTAAAAATGTTAAATATATAGTAAGTAAATAATATTTACTTACTATTTATCATTGTTAAAAAAAAAAAGTTATTTTTAATTATTATTTAAAAAAAATTCATTATTATATAATTTAAATAAAATTTTATTGATTATTCTTCGAGAAAAAAAATATTACTTTATTATAATAATTATACCGTGTAAATTTGGTACAAATGGGCTATCAGAAAAAACATGCCTTTTTTATTTTAGCGCAAATAGGCTGTACACAAAACGAATTTTTTTTTTTTTGGCGCAAATGGGCGATACTTTTTTTTATTATAAAAATAAATAAATTGTATCGTACTGGGTCACTCAATCACAGGCTTAAATAACAATAATAGATTTAGGTAAGCATTAAATTTTAACAATAATATACAATGTCAATAATATTAAAGTCTTATTTTTTAATTGGTTTTGTATTCACTCAAATGTTGCTTTTCAACCACGATTGTGGTATTTTATGTTTTTCTGTATCGTTTTCACCTAAAACAATTTCAATCTTTTTTTTTTTTTTTGCAAAAAATAAAATCCAGATGCGACATTTATCTGAGTAGGTCGCTTTATGATATTTTACTGTTAGTGCGTTTCTATCTGAACTATATTTTATATATAAATACGTAAGTGTATACTTGTATAAACAATTTATGTTGGCTGTTGACATATTGATACATAAAATTGTTTGCTGAAAGAAAGAAAAAATCTTATAAATAAATTGTAGCTTCCTTATTTCTCTAATAATTTATAATAATTACATTTTCAAGATATTTAAAATATGATTTAATAGAAGATTAATACGCATTTAATATTCCTGCACATAAACATCTTATTTAATTGATATAGCCATATTATAATCTTTAAGGTTACAGCTAGTTGTAGTTGTTCTTTGTTAGTGATGTTTTTTGATAAAATGAATATAACCTATCTGTGCACATACATCAAATAATTTTGTAGTCCATTATAACGTATTTTTTTATTGATATTTCCTAATATTACGCTATTTAATTTAGTTTGGTTACTAAACGTGGTGTGTAGCAATATTATGTTTATTACCTATATTTTTGTGAAGGCTATAAAATCTAATATCCAAGATGATCAGGTAGTGAATTGAAACCAAATTGGCCATTGAAATTAGTTACAGTTAAACGTTTTAAATGTTTAGTGGTTCGATTTGAAATTCATTATAATTGATTAATCAATAATTCAAAAACACAAACTATTTGTTTCTTAATTAATTTTAGTATCCTTTGTTTATTTTTTATGTGGTGCGGATATCATTTGTATTAAAAATAAAATATACTTATTAAAATAAACTCCATCAGAAATGTCAATAGAATGTAAAAAATATGTAAATTTGCTATGCAAATTTGTTTATTTATGATATTTATTACGAAGTAATACCAAAGTTTTTGGGAACTTGGATTTTTTCACAACCAAATCGCTGATAAGTCCAAACTCAATGCATAGCTTATACAAATGTATACTATTTTGCCAACCTTTTATTTAAGACATAAATAACTCGCGACAACAATTCTAATTTTAGTTGTTTAATTTATCGTTGTTAAACAATGAAATTATATGCCCCTAAATAAAATAAATAATAATGATGTAAATATTATTTTATAAAGATGATTTGTTTGGATATAATGTTAATTAAAATTAGACGTAAATAATCGGTAAGATTAAATTATTGCTACGTAATAAAATAAGAACTTATAAACGATTAAAAAATAAATAATATATGAAATATAAATCAAAAACACTTATACTTATTTTACTTTTGCTATCATCATAATATGTAACAAAATGTAGAACAACATTTATGTTTAGTGTCTTTATTTTTTATTTATTTTTTTATATTTATACTTTATAAATGGTATAAATAGGTATAATGCATGATATAGAATATTGTAAATTCTGTTGAGTGTATATTAATAATTTAATATGACGCTTTATAAAAAGTAAGATTAAAATGCAATAAATTTAATCGATAATTCTTATCCTTTAATCTGAGAGAATTTCAGTCATTTTAATTTAATTTGAAAGTTAGGTAACTAAAATTAAAATACATTAATACGAAATAAATAAAGTGCTAGAACGGGATAAATAATTAAAATTAGAGTAGTTTTATTTCACACGATTTCCCACAAAAGTGAACTAAATTGAAATTTGTAATAATTATATATTATTATTTAATAATAAAACAGTATTTCTAATCAAAAATCTCATTATTATTTTTCGTTACACGTTTTCTTATGGATTACTTTGTTGACTTAAATTTATACATATGCTTTACCTAAGTTAGTAAAACAAGTCTTAATTAAAATACCCTTATGACAGCAGACTTTTTTATAAATATTTTTATATTTGGTTGTTAATAAAACTATAGTGGTATGGTATTTGTAATAGGTATTTTGAATAAAATTATAATTATTTATTTTACCTATAGATGGTGTAAATTCTAACGGTTATGTATTTTATCTAAGAATCATTTAGAATAGGATAGTTTTTTTTTTCAAAGACATATTTGAATAAATTTTTTACAGAAAATTATTGACAACTATTATGATTAATTATTATTACATTAACGTTTATTAGATTTTATAACAGGATGTATTGTTGAATTTTTACAAAATTCTTTTTTCACTCAGGTAATGTGTGTTTTATTTTTTTTTATAATAATAATTATTATTAAATTTACTAGTAATCAAGAATAATACGTAAGATGTTTATATATATATATACGTATATATCTGTCTTATATATTTATTATTTTTAATATTCATAATTTAACCATTGAGTAAATAAAACTTTTTTTTTATCAATATATTTATTTTAAAACCGCCAATAATAATTAATTTAACTTATATTATTTAATTAGCAACGCTGTATTAACTGGGCTCAAAACTTAGACAAAAAAAAAAAAATTATCAATAAGACAGAAATTGTGTACATATAAACAATGTCATTGAAGTGCTTCATTAAACACAATATTACGTGCACATTTCACGATAGTTCAAGTTGTAACACATACGTAAAGGTACCGTGGTCGTATCGATAGGACTATTAAGATCACAAAAATAGCGATACAATAAAGTACAAAAAGGATAACTGATGTGTTTAAAATTGAGCTGAATGATATTGAACAAAAACTAACTGGAACATAGCACGAAATCGGATTACTAATAAGATTATAAATGGAACTATTATATCATTTAAGTGTCGTAATAATAGTCACGTTTTGTTGACGCTGTGTTAAGCTTCCCGAAATGTCATCTATCCAATCTTCATTTATGGAGTTCCAGAGCTTTCTTTCATAATCATTATGCTGTAGACAATATCGTAATTTCATGTGACTTCGGTGAATAACAGTTTTCAACCCGGGAGAATATCGTTAAAAGGAATAGTAATGCTAAGATTGCAGGTCTTATCGGTTCAGCGAACAAAATAACTTAACATTTTTATAACTAAAGTTGTTCCAAGTATTCACTACTCTTAGTAATGAACCTAAAAAGTTTTACATTTTTAGACTGAATAGAATTGATGTCCATTTCGTTGAATAGAATACAAAATAAATTGTTGAAAGTGTATTAAATAAATAAAAAAAAAAAAATCACAGAATTTCATTAACGTGAAAATACACGTTGTAGTATCGAAGTCCAAAATCGTATGCATTAAAACACGATCTCTAAAATTATACGAAATAAGGTGGCGAAAAAAAAAATACACCAAAGCTGCAATACGAATCGCTTATTATATAGGTACACAGCTATACTGTGTTTAGTGTCCGATGCGATAAGTGGCAGTCGAACGGAATGATAATGTAATTTGTCGGAAAACCAAAAAAAAAAAACAGATTAAAATCAGCTAACGTGGTATATGTGTCGTGCTAAATATCATACTTATAATATACTGTATCTTATTATATCATAACTATATTATATAATATAAAAATTGTGTTTAAATAGTCAGAAAAGTGACTAAAAATGTTTTTGATGGATATTCGTTAATTTTGAATTGGTTTTTTTTTTTTTTTTAATAGTTGATGAATATTTTTAATTTGTAGTAAAATGTATTGCCTGATTGACAAAAAAAAATTTTTTTCACGACAAAAATAATTTTTGATTACATATTTTGATACGCCAAAGTTTTTTTGTTGTTGCCAATTTCGACCCATAATAATATTAAGTTCTAATATAAAAAAATAATAGTTATGTATTATTAAGTTACCAGTGAAAATAATTATCATTGGTATACTATTGGTTATTCCGAACAAGTTGCGTCTTGTCACTGATATATTAATAGTAATATAGATTCACTAGATTCATGATCGTCTTATTTTACTACGGTGTAGTCGTGCAGGTTGTGGTCGTTGACTGTGTGTTATATAATATGCATGATAAACGAATATTATTTTTGGTGTTTGTTTTTGTAGTTCATCCAAAGCAAAGTCAAGAGATCCGCCGGAACATCCGGGGTCACTCGGCTGCGCCAAATTTGGCGACGGAAACGCCGTCGGGTACGTTGCGAATGAACAGCCGAAGCAAGACACCTCAGCATCTGGTCGTAGATATGCTGCCAATGGACCATCCTGACCAGGATTACTACCAGAAACCGAAATTCCGACCGAGACATCGGAATTCCAATCAGAGTAAGTCACGAGAAGAATTCTTGGGCGGTGGTGGCTGTGGCGGCGGTGGAGGCGGTAAGGTTGTGCTTATAAGGAAAACGTCGCAAACGACAATCACACATATATACACAAATGCACACGCATACATACGTGCACGCAGCATAATTGCTGATTAGAATTTGTTTTCCCTTATATTTTTTACATTCACAGTTATTCACTAAGTATACCATCTCCTATATTTTATTAAATAATGCATTTTAATAAATTCAGATTATGGGCATTTTTAAATATACTAAAATACCATAATATTTTAAAACTCATGAAATTTGTTTTACTTAGACTTAGGAGTAAACTAACCTTTTATTTTTCAAATTAAAACCTCTTTTTTTACTGTAAATTATTAAGTGGATAACTTTTTAAAAAATTTTGATATATTAAAATGTTTCTATGAAAACAAATAGTCCTTAAAAATGGTTTTATACAAATTTAAAATAGATATAGTATGTATCATATTTAAACCGTTTTTAAAAATTATAAATATTAGTAAGTTAATTTAAATTACTAAAATTTTCAAATTACCACAACCCCAATATATTCTAAAGCCTATTATCTTTGTTAAATAAAGTTTAGCTAAAACTATTTGTTTGAATTTTGAATAAGGTGCACAAACATTTAAATTGAAATTCTCAGCTAAATAATTTTATTAAAGGAGGATTTTAATTTGAAATATACAAGTTTGTTCACAATGCACTCTATAAATAATACAAAATTATCTCAATTATTAAAAAATGTGGTCTTTAGATAGATTTAAAAATTAAATTATTTTAAATTAGACTTTGAAAAATAGAATTATTGAAGAAGTAAAATACTTGATTAATCAACCTGAATATGTATACACTGATGAGTAATGATGTAAACTTTTGCTTGGTGTTCATTTTCATCCTTTTTATATGATCTACGTAATCAATTTTGATTTTTATCACATTATATTTATTGATATAGACCCCTAAAATTCATTGTCAGTTGAATGTTTTTGGTCGTAGAACTAAAATAATCAAAAAGACAGATATAATCCTCATCCGTCATCTCTTTCGAAACAAAATGTGAATTTTATAATCGCGAGATCTGTGTGCGTGTGTGTGTTTGGTGATAATAGTCATTTCTGACCGGCTTCAGATGTGACCTGAGTCGGAACGGACGTTTGCCAATCTGCTGTCTCATAATCGGACGTCTGCGGACACATTTCCGACTGACCGGAAGAAAATCTTCGACGGCGAACGGAATTAATTATGAGCGTCTCCACTATTAGTACCTATGATACAATATAATTATTCTTTGAAAATACTATACATAAGCATCTGACCATTTTTTATTTTATGATATAGGATCAATTTAGGCATAAAATTAAATCACTTGGTATTAAAAAGTTAATTACATTTCATTTGTAACAATATAATCGTCTCCGTCAAAATTTAGTTTACAGTTTAATTCACTGGAAAACTTATTTACATAAAATTCTTAATTTTAAAATAATAATAATAATATTTACTTTTCCTTAAAAAAAATCAAAACATACAAACATTTTTTAAAAATTTAGACAGAAAATGTCGTGATGAACACAACTACAGTACTACAATATAACAATAATACAATAATATTAGGTATACGCTATTTAATTTTGAAATGGTATTTTTTTTTTAAATATATCTTATTTTAATAAAATAAAACAGTTAAAATATATTGGCATGATGAAATTAAATTTTTAAAATATTTAAGTAATTTTAAATAAGTTATACTTTTATGTTTTATGTCTTTGAAAACTAATTTCAAAGCATTTTATAGCGTATACGATTTGAGAATATTTTGAAAAATGATGATATCGTAGTTTAGTAGATTTTTTGCCGGTATAATGTACTTTTTAATCAATATTTTATTCGTATATTAAGTGTTGCATATAAAATTAAGTAGTATATATTATTTATCTTGACGGATTTACTTTCTGAGAATTTAAAATAAAACACAATATCATATTTAATTAATTTATAATATATCCTCTGTAATTTTTGAAAAAAAAAGCAAATTATCGTTTTAAACAATTATTACTATGGTTTAAAATAAGTTTAAAAATTGAATATAAAACGTATAGCATTGATAATATTTTATAGTTTGTGTTTTACTGAGTTAGCATTATTTGTTTTTCGATGAATTATTTAAATATTATAGTAATTTTTTTTATTTATACGATTTTAAACAAATTAATTTTTACATAATCTTTTGCAACGGATTAATGTAATTATCATACCTATTTCGTGTTGTAATCTTATAGACCTCTAAATTGACATTTTGTCAAAACTGTAAATATGAAACTTATGATTTTCGATTGGACTGTTTGCTATTTTTGGTCCCAAAGTAATAAACTATTTTGTTCAAGTTAACATGATTTGGTATTAAACTATTAACTAAAAACTAGAATACAACCCGAGATCTAATATTTCACTGATGATAAAAATTCAGCCATTTTTGTACAAGAGTAAAATTTCGAGAGCGTAAATTACTTGAAAAACGAGGTATGTATGTTGTTCTTCCGTGAAATCGAACATTCTAATTATGTTGCGTAACGGAACGAACAATTCTAACGTATCTGCTATCGCTAGGCTGCAGAACATAGTTTAAGTTCTCAGAAAAACCAGGGAATAATACGATAATATATTACGGTCAACTTTTTGCTTTTCACTTCCTCTATATTCATCTGACACCGCCTACTAAACTTTGGATGGGTATTTTTCTGGGGCATCATTAATCTGCGATGGGCATAGAAAATAAATACCTAAAATGGGAACAGAATGAAGATGAAAATAATAGAACGGGATAAAGAAGCCTGAAGTTTTTTATGACTTCCCTGTGAAATCGCTTAAAATATAAGTTAAGATGATTTTTGGTTTTTATCATCATCCATTGCTATTTGTGAACAAACTATTTTATTATCAAACACGTATTATACCAACATGCATAAATTTAACCATGAACAATGTAGGTACTGTTAAAATATGTATGTTGTCAAAATTAAAAGGTTCCGATTTTTTTTAAGTATGATGCATTTTCATAATCGTTGGTAATCATAAAATAAACATTAAATGCATATTAAACTGAATGATAAGTGTTTATAATTATACGATTCGTAAACACAAACTTACAATTTTCTATATAGATGCAAACGTATGAATAATGTTGAGCGTTTATATGTACTAATATGAATATATAGTTTGATTTTACTTAAATTTTGCTTACTTTTTGTTTTATATTTATCTAAAGTCTAAATTTTATTTATTTAAACTATACTATGTATAATTGATATGCTAATGTATTGGTAAAGACATTTTACAATTCTAACTTTATTCAATTGATCAAAAGATAAGTTATGAAATATATGAACGTATTTTAAACTTCAAAACATTCGACGATGATCATCTTTAAGAGTGAAATGGGTTAAAGAGGTATAAATATATTTCATGATAGTATTACAATATGAATAAAGTTCAAATAAGTTCGTGACATTTATTTCAATGGTTCTTATTTGAATAAAAACGAATGTTCATACTGTATTCAAATTCGGGATGTTTTATATACCTACATAATTTTAAAATAAAAATGATATTCGAAAAAATAAGAAAAAAAAATTAAAATTGAATAAGTTCTTTTAAAAAAAAATCGCATAATGACAAAAAATATCAACAAGTATTTGAGTGTACATGATTGTATTTTTATGTAATATATACATGTATAAATGCCTTACATATAAAACAAAAAATACGCTGCATCTATACAGTTAGGTACTTACTCGTTACAATAGTATAATACCATTGAAATTCTCGTAATTTTTGACGATTTTTCATTTGAATAATTACAACTTTTACTATTAATTTTTGTATAAAAATATCAAATTCTCTCTATCAAAAAATCTATAAAATTTTTCCACAAGGTCGATGTGAGGTCGTTTATTTATTTATTTAGTTGGTGTAACTTCGTATAAACGAATATTCGCAATAAAGTTAGAGAGTGCTAAAATAATTTATCTTTTACAGACCTGTAGGGGATTTCTTGGTTTTACCCACACACAACGTATTATGCAATTTTTTTTTTAAACGTTCTATCAAATTATTAAAAAAGATTAAGCTTTCTGATTTGTTAACGGTCATTTTAATTTGTACTATAATTATTTTTAATCAATTTAATATACAAGTTCAATTTTAAAATCGAAATTATCATTATTTACAAGTAATTTGTGAAATGAATTTGATATACTCTGATTATTTAATTAAAAATATGCGTAAACCTTCATTAAAAGTTTCAGCTTAATTTATTGAATTGAGTGAGTAAAATAGAAAAAATAAACATTATTATTTATTATTATTACCATTACAATGAATAAGAAAATTTATAAATTTTAAACTGATAACAGTTTTACAATTTAAATTTTCATACAAACTATAGTAATATTTTTTATACGCATTTAAACGTATCTATAACTGCAATACACAAAATTTAACTATCTATATACTGTGTAGTTGTCTATGGTAAAATAAATTGTATTAAAAAAAGGCTAGTTTTATGACATCGGTTTTACTTTAAAATTTAAAAATATTTATATTAATATTTATGTTTATTTCAATATTTATTTTTAATTTTTCAATTTTTTGTTTTAACCACCATCTCCCGTGGTTTCCGCAGGCAAACGTTTGGAAGTGATGGCGCCCAGTCCTCGTATCATGTCGCCCTTGGGTTTCGCGGTAAACCGGCAGTACCCTCGGCGGTCGACTCGGTACAGCGACTATTACGATGACGCGGAGCCATACGACTTCGACGACAACAACCCGGATCACATTAAGCCCGTACCCATATGGCTGTGCGTGCTGCTGGTAGTTAGCTACATAATCATGGGCGCATTCCTGTTCAAGAGCTGGGAAAACTGGGAGTTACCGGACTCAGCGTACTTCTGCTTCATAACGCTCACCACCATTGGGTTCGGCGACTTCGTGCCCGCCCAGCGTGTGATGAACAAGGGCGACGATACCAAGCTCCGCATATGGTTCTGCTCGCTGTACCTGTTGTTCGGCATCGCCCTCTTGGCAATGAGTTTCAACCTTGTTCAGGAAGAGGTGATCAGCAACGTCAAGACCGTGGCCCGACACTTAGGCATCATCAAGGATGAGGATGAGGAGGAGTCTGAGTGATGGCGTACTCGTCCAATAGTATAATAATATTTTATATTATCATCGTGAACGTACGTTGAATGAAATATATATAATATGAACCGCGTATATACGCCATTATAACTTTCGCATTAATATTGTTTTAAATATTATGTTTTATAATATACGTAATCATTATGTCCATGTGCTCACGGCCGTCAACTGCCTGTGCTCGTTTTGTATATTTTATCTTAAATTATAGTGTTTAGATCATTTTGAGATACATTTTAAGATATATTTTAAGAACTGTAATTAATCGCTTTACGGATACAAAGTTTGCGTACAGATATCTAAAGATGTAACATTTATATAGAAAAAAAAAATTATCTTTGTAAAAATCGATTTTAAATTCTAACTGAAATTTTTAATTTTAATTGTTATTAATGACGGTAATAATATGCTATTTTCATATTAATTTTATTCTTAATGTAAATTGATTTAATTTATTATATGAAATGACATAAATTCCATCCATGCATAAAATTATAAAATAACACAACATACAATACTTTATGCTCTTCACTAAAGTTCACACTTTACGCGTGTATGCAACTACAACATTTGTATCGTTATCAAATAAAATATTAGATTTTGTCATATAATTGAAAAATATTGTATTGTCATGATAAAAATGTATGTACATTGTACAATACATTATTTTTTACGTGCACAAACGGTCTATTAAATTATAAGTAAAATATACAAAATGCGCGCAGATGATTGCTACTAGCTGTCATAATACTTTTGCTCTTCAGGATTAGCTGGAATCGTAAATATCGGTATGTAAGCTGGTAGATTTATAATATATATATTTTGATATTATAAATAGTTGATGCGTTTTAATAATATATATAGGTAATGTGTTAAGAATTCAACAAATGAAAATCGTAAAAAACCTACGTTATTCGATCAGCACTCTGGTTTAAACAACCATAACCTGTCATTATACTTGTTTTCGATGAATATAATATTGTTATTAGAGTGTTTTATCGTTCTAATTTATTCGTCATCTGTATATTTCGTAAATACTTTTTCGCGATTTTTATTCACCATACCTGTTTGCTATAGATAATAACTTCAATTATTATGTTATTTTAAAATACTCCCGATTAATTTTAGTATTATGGAAATAGTTAATTTCATTGGTATATTATGTTAAACGATAATTTGAATTAAAACTTATAACAAATACGGTAATTTAAACGAAACGTAACGGTATTAAATTTAAATTCACGCCATAATGTCGTGGTAATTATGTCGCTGTAAAAATGTCGTGAACACAAAAAAATCACGATGTTAAAAATATAAAAATACAATGTTAATATATTATAATTTATAATATACATACCTATGTATAGTATAATTTTATTTTATTTTTATTTTGCAAAGCAAACAGTCATACTTAATAAATATAAATAATGTAGGAAGTGAAAAATAATAATAATTAAAAATATTGTAATACACGAAATAATAAATTATATTTTTAAATTAATTGATACTGGAAGTTATATAAATTTCCACGTAGGTAGTCGATAATTGATCAATTTTTATAATCATCACATACGGCTTTAGGTCAAATCGCAAAATGTTTGTAATTTTTCTTTGTCGGATGTTTAATGTCAGCAATAGGCACACTGTTCAACTTTTAGACGGTTAAGGCTTTCTTCCTTTTTCAGTGAATTGATAAAAATTCAGATAAAAGGTTGACGAGAACTTAACATTGAATTAAATGTTAATTAGTAATATAGGTACACCGAATTTAATTTTCGTAGGTATATAGTGTTATATTATTATCAGCTATGGCACTTTAATCTAATCTAATCCTAATAACGAAAACCGGAACTGCAAGCCACATTGGCGACTACAGCGATGCATTACTACCTGCAAGATTTTGTTTTGGTGACATTTTTACGGTGAAATTTTGATGCGACACTATTACATTTATATAAAATCAAAACTGTCATAGAGTAAACTTAACGTTCTATATGCGCTAAAATTTGACTGTGTATACAAGCCCGTTGCATTGCATAAGTGTAATTTAGCTTGAGAATACATAAACGAAAACGAGGTCACGAATCTTTGATAAGGATCAACCGTTTAAATATCTAAAGCTATCAATGTAATGTGTTATAGTGCGTTTAAAATACCTAATAGAGCAATGGAGATGTTGACAAAATTATTTGTATTATATATATATAGATAATCTATGACATAAAACGGTGTATGTAAAAAAATTAATGTGACTTTTCAACTATTGTATTTTTTTATTTATTTATGAATTTGAGTCAACATAACTTTTGTCATGCTCCATAATAATAATGATCATTACGATTTTAATCAATTAGATGTAAGTGGCCCGTATTTATATTTTATTTTATGAAAGAAAATCAATAAATATTGCAATAAAGTTATGATAAATATATTTTATATTTTCAACAATTTTTCTCCATAATCAAGTTTTGATTTAACATAATGATATAGAATAATAAAGTCTTTTGGTTTTGATATAAAATGATAAATTTTAATAAATTTGACCGTACTAATTTTATTACAAAACAAAAACAAAAAAAAAAATCATTGATTAATTAATAGAAAACATTTTTATACAAAATACTGTTATAATATTAAATACTATGTTCAAGTACTGTACATAATAATATTATATTTATATTATTTTCTTGGAATACGGAATTTCTCTTTTAAGTATTTGCATAGTAATAATATATTTATAAATTATCTATTTATCTTTTACAAACATCTAGTTGTCTTCTAAGTACTAACATATTAGATTATTGAATTAATATCATAGTTTTCTTATTATACTATATTTTTGAATAATAAATTGTGCTCGTGATTCTTACAATATAATTTATATTTTATTTTATCATTTAATATTTAAAAAAATCCAGAGAGCATTGTTCCATGAAAAATATGTTTTTTTTTTTTTTTTTTTTTGATATAATATATTTATAATTGCATTTATTATTATTAGTTTTAGTTTACTAATCTTAATAACTAGTTGAATTAAAAATATTTTTAAATATGAAAGACATTCAAAATAATTCATAAATGCAATTTCTATAATTAAGAAAATTATTTGTAACTTTGTTAGATTGCATACATTTGATATTATTTATTTAATTTTTTATTTGGTATATAATCTGTAAGAGACAGCTATTCAGTTGATTTATGATAGCCCTCAACTATCTTGAACAATTCTTTAAGTTTTTTTTCAATTATTTAAGCATAAGTTATTTCAATATCATTGCACCCTAAAAATGCCAACATAAAATAAATCAATTTTATTTTCAAGTGTACTTTACTGATTAGTTTAGAATTAGGTGCTTATATGAAAAATTGAATGTTAAATAAATTATATTGGTGAATAATATTTATTTTTATGTTTTTTTTTTTGTGTTCTATTTATTTAGAATGTAACTACGATAAAAAAAAAAAAAAAATGTTGGTTAATAACTAATAAGTATTTTATTCCACTTTTTGTCATTTTAACCGTTACAACTACAAAGTAACTAGAAGTATAAATATTTATTTATTCAACTTTTGAAGGTATACATTATTTAAATTGTGCATTTCCGTAAATGTATATAAAAATAACTTTTAAAAACTATAGTAATATGATTGCGTGCTTATTTAAGTAAAAATTATTATTATTTTTAAAAACATTTTTTTTTTTTTTATTTGTTCAACAATTTTATAATCTAGCCAGTAATTTATTGTTTAAAGATGTTTATTAACAGATCTGTCTATTTAAAATTAAAATTAAATAAAAAGAATCATTTTTTTTTTTTATTTCAAAGTATATGATGATATAGTAATCTATAATATTTTGTTTGTTTTTACTTATCATAATTATTGTACTATAATATACTTTATAAAAGTTATTTGGTATAATTTTTTTACTAAATTTTAAGCATTTCATTAAGTAAACCAAAAAAATAAATTAAAAATTCAAACTAATTTCGTGTTGTACTTAAAATGTATTCTAAATCGATCACTATTATTTCTAACGATCAACTCAATATTCAATAGTAGTGTGTCGTGTTCTTACCTCGCAACTTATTCACATGCTCTATTGTCATATAATATTTGATTTTTTTATACTGTGAATAGAAGCCGGTATAATAGTTCAAAAAAAAATCATTTATATATTGTGTTTTTAATATTAAAATAAATTTGTATAACATTTATAACATACATATATATATATATATATATATATATATATATATATATATTATATGAATGCTGTTCACTTATCTGTATTATTATTTGTTGAGCATTTATAAAATATCATATTTAATAACTTAATTAAAAATGCTGCCAAAAACCTTCAGTTTTTTCATTATTAAATCTTCAAATATTGTTAGTTATATATGTGATCTGAATGTTAAGATATTATATCGTTTTAGCATTATGTAACGAACCGTTTGGACAAGTGGATAAGAAGTTACACAAAACGTGTAGATATTGCAAAAATTCACATTTGGTGTGTACTTATATATAGTTTATTGATTGTGGTATAATATAATATATAATCTACAAAAGAAAAATATCATCTCATAAATTTTTATTGTTCAGTATGTGATTTAAAATAACTGAAATAGATTAGTCCTTTTTCTAATGAAAAATAAAGTAAAATTGAGTAGTAGCGTGGGGTTATACTACCACCTAAATCCCAAATGACCTCGAGTTAAGACATTGAAGAAGAAAATGAAGAACATTTATTAATATAAAATTATGGAAAACGTGTAGGTACATGGATTGTGTTGGTGACGTACAATATGACAATTACGTAGAACGTAGATTTTTTTGATTTTTAATATGTAAATATGATAGAAAAACACTACTTCATATTATTATAAATCATAGATAGATTTCATAGTTTATAGTGACGAACATAAAATGTAATAATGTTTAAAAGTCTATAGATTTACACATACAATTATAAATCACTAACCATATTTAAATGATTCGGTTTTTCAGACAAACACACAAGCTATTGAACAACTATGGTAAAGAATAGAAAAAAAAATTGGTATACAATTGTATTATTATTTTAAGGACTATTATCCTGTTTATTATATTTTAATAATAAATAAATAAATAAATAAAGATAAAATTTTGATTACCATAGAACATTACAAGTAATATAAAAATCTAAATATTTGAAAATACGATTTTTAAGTTGTTTCAAAAATATCAAAAAAATCATAATTTTAATAAATACATTACTTATTTATAGAAACTCAGGAGGGAGAAAGTCATATATGTTTGTTATATGACCTTATCCAGAGGACACTCGATGCAATTTAATGAAGAATGGCTGATAGTGAGAGAC